GGACACGGCAGGTCGCATGCTTCGGCTAAAAAAAAAAAAAAAAAAAAAAAAAAAAAAAAAGAAAAAAAAAACAATTGAAACATGCGGTTATTAGAAAGTAGTGGTTTTGCTGACATTGCATCATTCATTTGAAAAGAGAAATAATTCATGAAAAAAAAACTACATACAATAGAAATCATTTTTTAAATACCGAATAAACATTAAACAATCGATATATTATAATCCAATTTTTTCAGCAATTCAAATGCCGTTAGAGATTTATACTTTTTACATTAGTTAGTGACCTGTTTTACAAATATGCTGATGCATATTGCCAAAGCGCGTAGTGTCGCAAGTTTGTACTGTAAAGGTAGTAGCGAAGAATAATGTTGCAATTATGTATTTCCAATTATTTACGCTTCAATAGTATGTAATGACAAAATTGGAACAAAAGAAATGACACACACACAAAAAAATCACCGAACGTTTCATTTTCCTATTCAAAAACGTTACATAATAAAAGTGTCAATATAAACTTCGATATATCGTTTTCTTTTTTCGCGGTAACGCGCTTTCGACGAAAAATATCATCGCGATAAGAAAGAAACTGTCACTTTGCAAATAATCACTATCGCAATAGAATATTCACTATATCGATTAATCTCCGCTATCACAAGACAAAAATTCAAAGTACAAAGCCTCCCCCTCCTAAAAAAAAAAACGAAAAAACAAAAAAAGAAGATAGGCCGAGAGGTCTGACATTCAGGTGTCTTTCCGTTCACTATCAAATCATTATCGTGCAACGAGCATCGATACAAGAAGCGAATCGTCGCACACGCGTTCCGCCACTCTCCGTTCTCGTATAAACAGCATCTTGACGTTTCACTTTCTAGCCGGTAACACACGAACACGCACACGGGAGGGCGCTGCTTGCAGGATCTACGAGAATACGGCGAGATTTCGGGTCGGGAATACTCTCGATCACGTTTTCGGGTCACACCGAGTCTTCTCACGAAAGTGGAGCGACGCTAATTCATTACTCAAAACGCACTCACACTAACACACACACACACATATCAATAGCAGCACTCTCATGTAGCAGATCATGTGTCAAATCCCTATTTTTTCTTTACGCAAAATAATCTTTAAATACATTACATTATTTATTGCAACAAATAAATAAAACTCTGATTATTTCAATAGTAAATTGTTGCGATATCAATAATTTTTTTTCTTTGAAAAAACCTCATACTTGTAACATTTTATATAATTCTGATCAGATGACGTAACTTTTATATTCATTCAGTACCTACTACTGCACTTTAATGGCACACGTAAATACGGGGGCACAAGTTAATCCGAAAGTTTGCTCTAATAGTTCTTATAATAAATATTGTTTTTTTTTATGTCTTTTTATGAAGTTTCGGACATCAGATAAAAGCCGATGTGTGCGAGTGAATAAAATATGTAATTAATATGTAATTTAAAAATGTTTCCGCGCTGAGACACGAAATATTAATTTCAAGTACATACAATCTCAGACATTCCACTCGTTTCTCTCACTCTCGCTCATTCTCTCTCTCTCTCTCTCTCTCTCTGTCGCCATCTGTTTTATTCCCTCTCTCTCTGTCTTCTGTGTCTCTCTCTTTCTCTCTTGGACTACTGGAAAATTCGGCACCAATCGACGTACACTTTGCAAGTCGTGTCGCCGTTCCAGCTGGATCGTTGGCGATTCGGAATCGCGAAGAAAGAGAAGAGAGAAAGAGAGAAAGAAAAAAGACAGACAGCGAGAAAGAAAGAAAGAAAAAAAAAGAACTGTGTAAAGAAGACGAAAGAGGCAGGGAAGGGACGGGGATTCCGGAGCCAACATTCCAAAGGATTGATCGCGAAGTGGAAGATCATGATCGATACGAGTGGTCTATACGCTTTACGCGCCATATACGGAACGTGAGAAGAGATCGCAAACGTTCGCGAAGATCGGAGCGGTTTGCTCCGATCAGCGAAATAAAATAAAAGATAATTAAATCGCAACGTTGATAACAAATTGTATCATTCGACTCTACAACTCAGACATCTCGTCTTTTTCTATCCTGGAATACGAGAGGAGTCATCAGCAATCAGTCAAAGCTCCCGAGATTACGATAAGATCTCTTGTGTCTTTTTTTTTTTTTTTTTCCATCTCAATTTCCGGATTCTGTACCGTGTCGTATTCCCGTGGAGCACAGCCGCTCCATCAGAAAGCGCTCACTAAAATACTAAAAAAGCAACATGGCTGCTGGCGTGGCGACCAATCAGAAATTATATAAATACTCGCGAAAAGAGCGATTGACGATTATTTTAATGGACGAGACTGGTCCGATCTGGAAACGAACGGTCGAGCAAAATAGCTGTGGAATCTTATATCGATCATATCGTTCGGCATAAAAATAAACCACAGCCGAGCTTTCTTTGTTGCCGAAACCGCGAGTGTGGTTAAGATCGTCTCATCACTTGACAGCTTTGCCATTGAGAGAGAGAGAGAGAAAGAAAGAGCTAATGAATGCACACTCAGCGCTACATAACCTCAGTGTCGAGATGCTTAGAAATATCTCAGAGTATTTCCACACACATACACACGAGACGATCTGTTTTTCACCGCGGCGACGATTGGTTTTATCAATCGTTTCCCTCGTAATTGCGGTTTTAAGGTCACGCTAATGTAGTTTTTTTTTTTTTT